AAGTACTTAAAATCTGTCAGTGCTTAGTAATGTCATGTATTTATTTCACTGATACAACTCATTTACAAAGGTTTTATCAAGTCTACTGAAATCTCGATTTAAACTACTCATTGGAGCCTTCAACGTACATACCCTATATCAAATCTGCTAGTAAGTCTTCTTGGATAAAACCCTAGAATCTCGTACCATTGATGTATGCTGTGTCTTTGAAACATGCATACAGTATCATAGTGTGGCCATTCACTTGACCTCACCTCGCCAAAACAGCGAGCCGATGAGATACACCCTCCCTTTATCTGACGACCCGATGGCTAGTTCTCTTAGACTTGCGGGTGTAGGCATAGCACTAAATACGAGGTCAGAACAAAGCTTTTAGAATGGATTCCTGTTAACAGTCGCTTATTTGCTGTTCGGCTGAACGGTTACGTAAGAACTCGGAAGGATAGGGACACATGTCTTCGCCTTTTCGTCGTTTCTGCCTACGCTCCCACTGACTGCAGCCCGGATGAAGTGAAAGATGACTTACAGAAGGCCTTCTGAACTGATTCAGAAAGCTAAACGCTCAGACATAGTACTAGTAGCAGGTGATTTTAATGCCCAGGTAGGTAGCTTAAACCAAACAGAAAGACATGTTGATGGGTATTTTAGTATTCCGACTCAGCAATTAGGTAACGGTGAACGTCTGCTTCAACTGTGCTCAGACAATCGTTTACTTTTAGCGAACACAAATTTCAAGCATAAGGAGAGACATTGTCTAACCAAACCAACAATGGACTCAAATAGACCATATTACCACCAGTCATAGTTGGAGAAGCTCGATAGAAGACTACCGCTCGTTCGAGAGTACTTATTTAGACTCTGATCATGCTCTAATACGAGAACGCATCTGGTTGCGCCTAATTAGACGTGGAAAATCCACAGTAAGAAGACCCATTATAGTCGACCTCAGAGACAAGAAAGCCAAAAGTAGTTTACAGGAACAATTGAGATCACACTTAGATAGTACACTTTTTGCCTTCCTTTGAACCGTGAAATTAAAATTGCTTTTGTATCTTTCTTTCTACCAATTAATTCTTTCTCCTTGTACTATATCCTTATACACATTCTTCATTTTATATATTTTCTACCATTGAAGTAATTACTTCTATGAATTTGGTTTTCATTTTGTTGTGCTAATGAGATGTGGTAACCTGCTGCGATCCATATATGTTCCTAGTCCTCCGTTATAGATGAATGACTGAATACATGAATAGATATATTAAAATTGATGTACAACAAAAACAGTTCCTAAATAATATCTTCCACTTCTAAGCAAGGGTTTGTTAAACAGGAAGGTTTTAACATAATACACTTAATTATTTTATCTTTAAAATCATGTTCATTGTTTGAAAAAAGAAGCAAAAATGGACCTTTTCCATTCCTTTTAAAATTTATAGAAGAAATGAATATGAAACATGCTAAACTGTAGTTTCAACCATTAAATATAGTTACTAATTAACAATATAGTTACAATATAGTTAATTACCCATTACGTAATACACATCAATAATCGATAGATTTCAGAACAGGAAACATGGAACTGCATAGAGATAAGCTAATTAAGTTAATCAAGTAACCATTTTATGATGAGAGAGATACATAATGATGAAGATAACATACTATAAGTTATTTTATGATAAGGAATAAATTGGTATGTAGTTATGAAATAATCACATTTTAGGAATGTAACTATCAGCAAACAACAAAAAATAGATTTTTGTTTATAGTTGAAAGTGTAAGTCAATTGAAACTAGATCACCATGGAAAACTTGAAATAGCCGTTTCGTTCTATTGTAGGACTCCTCAGCAGTACGCATTCGCGATCCCGCCTCACGAGACTCAAACTCAGGAGCTTTCATCGTTCTTCTGAACAACATCATCAGCACAAACTTTAAGTAGAAGTGAAGTGATCGAATTTCTCCTCATCTGGTTCACCATTTGTCCTGTAAACCTTGATATTGATTGGTTCTTGTTGGTCTTAAACCTGATGTCGTACAGAAGAACGATGAAAGCTCCACGACCAAACCATCCAGCTCAGAGAATAAAACTCCATCAAAATCTTCCACCTGTGCTACAAATATTTTCCACCATCTCGAAATTGAACATTTATAATTAATCTGAACATTAGACTATTGTTTTATATGTGATATCTAATATCAGTTTCATGCACTTTACTTTTAATAGCTAAATAGTTTGAAATAGCTGATTTTGTTTCAAAATTTATAATGAGATTAATTGTTTCAATTAGGTTACTATTATAATCAGAAGGGGATTTGTGGAGATTTTAGCAATTTTATAATTGAATTCATTAGTCAATTGAATCTAGACCGTCATGGAAAATCTGCAAACACTGGAGAGCCGTTTCGTCCTATTATAGGACCCCTCAGCATTGCGCATCCACGATCCCACCTCGTGAGATTCGAACCCAGGACCTATCAGGCTTGCACACGAGCGCTTAACCACTAGACCACTTAGCCGGCATCCAAATGATATGTCCTTGGTTTGAATATCGTGAGGTGGGATCGTGGATACGTACTGCTGAGGACTATACATGCTGAGGAGTCCTACAATAGGACGTAACGGCTGTCCAGTGCTTGCAGGTTTCCCATGGTGGTCTAGCTTCAATTGACTAATGATTTCAACTATACTATTATAATTATAAAATTAGATCAGTAATTCAAACTATCCAATTTCAAATTAACAATTTGATATTTTAGGTAGATAGTATTTTACAATCGGCTATTCAATATATTTTATTTCTGACATAATCAGCAAACAGATTGCATACTACTCTTTAACGATGTCCTTTCTTAATTGTGACCTGGTTTATATATAACGATTAAATATCAGATATTTGTATAGTCTATTGCATTATGTTCGATGTAGTAGTACCAGGTAGTACCTGGCCAATTTATTCAATTATGAATTTTTAATAATATAAAACCAAGTTATCTGAGTAAACTAGTCTTGAAATGTAATTATTTAAAGCTCTATAATAAGAAGTTAAATTTCGCTTTCGTCAGTGTATATATTCAAATAAATGTATATGTACTTATCAATATACAATCGAAGGAAATTAGGAAAGGACGATGGAATTGAATATTATCAAATTACATCACTGGATAACCCCTAATTAAGAATCCTGAAGGGAAACGGAAAACAGAAAGACCAAGACTTTCACTAAATCAAGAATTACAAGCACACATGAAAAGGATGAATATCAACTGAAAAGAACAGGAAAGTATTGTCTAGGACAGTGATAGATGGAGAATGCTGATGTGCGGCCTATGCACCTTCACGAGGTGTAACAGGCGTATGTAATTATATAGGTAATTAGTTAATGAAGAATCTGAGTAAATTAGTCTTGAAATGTAATTAATGAAAGCTCCATGATAACAAGTTAAATTTCGCTTTCACCAGTGTATATATTTAAATGAATATGTATATTAATTCTTCAGTTACTTGATATCTCCCAACAGATCTAGTTGAACTCCATTGGTTACTGCTTAATTCGTTTTATGAGCATATCAAGTTGAAAGTTCGTTAACCTATTCTGTCACTTAGAATGGACTAATATTTTAGTAACCTATAAACTTTAAGAATTCAACCACTGTTGTTAAGTAAGTATAGATGGTTAGTGTCTATCAGTGGAATCCAGAAAACGCGTTTCGTCCTATTTGAGACTCGTCAGCAGGATGTTCCTGCATCTCAGAGTTGATGTTCACTGTGGGACTAGAACTCAGTAACTTTCGCTTCAAACGCCATCACGTTATCCATTCAACTACTGAGTCCTCATAATCACTGGCTTGTGCAATGGGGTGAAGTTTAAATTCATTTGGTATGGTTTGTTTGAATCTTCCCACTGATGTTTAGGACTGCAACTGGTCAGTCTCTAATTGGCATATGTGCATACTGTGCGTATTACCTCGATATAGCCTAAATTCACGAGCATGGTAAGCAAAGATTAGAGACTGACCAGTTGCAGTCCTAAAGCATCAATGGGAAGTTTCAAACAAACAATACATTGTTGCTAAAGCCTAAATTCTAATCAGCATAAGTTAATTATTCAGTTATAATAAATCAATAAACATTTCAATGTGTTTTTTATGTATAGTTGAAATCATGAGTCTATTGAAGCTAGACCATTATAGAAAACCTGGAAGCACTGGACGGCTGTTTCGTCCCATTGTTGGATTCCTCAGCATGTATAGTAAACTTTCATTCTCATTCCGAGGTGATAACTTGGATCAATCAATACATTGAACAAACCACACGTTTCCAAAATCGTTTTTTTTCTTTTCAATCAGAAATACATAAATTCATTTGACAGTTGTAGGCGGCTTCAATTTGTGTAACTGAATTAGACCATCATTTCATTATACATAATTCCTATTTTATAGTTAATAAGAAGAATAACGTAGAACATAGAGGGAATGACTAAATCAAAATGTTACAAATGTAACAAGTAACAACCTACTTACATATTTGCGATACTTTAGAAAGTAGAATAGTTATGAGGTAAATCAATAACCATGTTTAAATGTTAATTATATAAAGAAATATCACATAGTTCTAATAGGTAAAAAATGATGGGCATATTCAAATCTTGAAAATATGATATACGCGAAAAGCGTGGATAAACGAAATAACTACTATCTATGAGTGTTAAACTGGTTAGCCTTTCTTCAGCAATTTAGTTTTCTACGGGATGGACTCGCTAACTCCATATCCGACACTCCTCCTTTATCCGGACCTAGGATCAGCAGTAACCACAGAACGGCTCCAGGCGGAAAACATCAAACTACGTCTCAAGGCAAGCCTTCACTTGGAGTCCTCCAGGCCAAAGGAAAAGAATAATACCAAAGAACATAATACGACGAGAAATGGAAAGAGACATAAGAAGAATGAACAACAATTGGATGGAACAAGAAAAGAAGGCCCAGGACAGAGTGGGTTGGAGAATGCTTCTCATTAGCCTATGCTCTATTGGGAGTAACACGCATAAGTAAGTAAGTATGAGTGTTAGTCGTGTACTGATAAAGACTAAAGCTTGTTATATTTATAAATCAGATTAAAGATTTTTTGTGGAGATTGTAATAATTTCAATAGTTGAATTCATGAGTCGATTGGAGCTAGACCACTGCTGAAAAGTCCCATACTAAGATGCAACGACCATCGAGTGCTTCCAGGATCTTGGTGGTGTCCTAGATTAGATAGACTCATTAATTTAACTAATGAATATTTATAAATTCCTATTCACTACTCTATAGTTCAACCAGATACTAATGTACATAAATAATAATATAATCGTTATAAACACTAAATAGATACTTCGTCAATTAGTAATCTATTAAAATGGGCACAAAATACTGCTAAGCAATATCTAATATATAGATACTTTTCAAAGTCAAATTCATATAAATTAACATTTTGTTCATGAAATTTCACTTTTAATATGAACAAATCTATTCACTAGGCATCTATTAGTTTTAAATTCACTTAGTATTATTGGTTTGAATCTTCTCATTGATGTTTAGGACTGCAATTGGTCAGTCTCCACATTACACAATCAAGTGGCTATCAGGACTCAGTAGCTAAGTGGATAACATGATGACGTTTGAAGCGAACAATACTGAGTTCGAGTCCCACAGTGAGCATCAACATCCAGGTGACGAGTACCAAATAGAACGGAACGTGCTTCCACGTGCTAGCCATTATCAATATTTATAAAGCTTGTGGCTTCAGGCAATATTGAGGCAATCCGCACAGAATGCACATATGCGAATAAGTGACTGATCAATTGCAGTCCGAAAAATCAATCGGAATAATCAAATAAACAATACGAAATAATTTAAACTTGACTACATTGCACTAGCTAGTGGTTATGAGAACTCAATAGCTGAGTGGATAACGTAGTGGCGTTTGAAGCGAATAATATTAGATTGAAGTACTGGATTGGGATGCAGGCACATCCAGCTGATGAGTCCCAAATAGGACGAAACGCACGCAAAACTGGATACCACTTTTAGCCACTATTCATCTTTGCTTATAACTATTAGTTTCGTTTTCTATAAAAATTCTGATTGAATTTATTTTTTTTTTAGCATTCTCAATGAATATATAATGACGAAAAAAGAATATTATCTGGTTACCAAGAGAACACAAACTAATTTTTCATTGTGGTTGCCATTGCTGTTCTTTAGTTTTCAAATGGTAAACAATCTCTATTTATTGACTAATATCAAAAGTATTAATTATTAGATTCATTTAAACAATATCACCTTAATATAGGTTTCTCTCACAATTGTTAAAGTATAATGAAAACTATACTGTTCTATTATTTATTAGATAATTATACATATATTATCTTCTTTTTTTTTAAAGAAGATTTTCAACAATATTCAATATGTAATAATGAAGAGTTACATTTAAATTTTTTGTTGCTATGGTAACATTCCAAAAAAGTGAATACTTCCATACATATATATATATACTTTTTAGTTTCTATGTGATTTTATCATTTATTTATATGAAAGTTTTTTCTAGTTTACTGAACAATAACAACAACAATAAACATTCACTTAATATTGGAATCATCAGTACCCATTTGTTGATGACGTTCATCAAGATCTTCTTCTTCAGGAATTAATGTATGCTGTCTACCTTTATTATTATCATTATTCTTCGATGGTAATAAATGATGTTGACGATATTGTATAATAGTATGTTGATCATTTAATAAATTTGTTTTATTTATTAAATATGGACAAAATATATTACAAAATGTTTGACGAAATTGATTAGACATAGTTGTATATATAATAAAACTAATAGATTCATTTAATAATGTAAGAAAATCTAATAAATCACCTAAATGTTGATAAACTTTCTCTTCAAATTGATCAATTAAATGAATACATGTTACTAAGATACCTTGAGGTAATTCAATCACAAGAAAACATAATACAATAGTTAGTAACAAAGCGGTAGTACGATTCTCTCGGCTTAATTTTTTACTTTCATCATTATTATATAATGGTAATGTAGATGATGGTAATGAAGTTGATTGTCTTATTGATAAAGATGATTGTTTTTTATTATATTTAATAATACTTAATGATTTATCACGATGAATAAATAAAGCTTTACGACGTTTTATAGCTTTTTGTAATTCACTTATTAATAAAATAGTTAATATAGTTAATAAAAATGATGGTGCAATTTTAGTAATAACAGCTTGTAACCATACATTAAAATTATGTAATTGTTTTGTTCTCCACTTAAATGATGATGTTGATGATGATGATGATGATGTAACATTGAAATGATGTAATGTATTGATTTCTATTAAATCTGGTTCCGATGTTATATAATAATAAATTTGTACATTTTTCATATTCCATATACTTCCATTTATTGATTTATAATTTAATGTAGGTCCTAAACATGATTCAGAATGATTAACTAAAATATTTGGTATAGCAACAAATATACAAAATATAGTTATTAATAATGCTGAATAAAATGCTCTTTTACGTGTTGTATATATAGAACCAGATATTGGAAAACCTACATGTATATAACGAAATAATGCTAATAATACAGCTAACCATAAGGCTAATGAATGTAACATTAATGCACAACTAACAACTATTTCTTGATAGATAATCCATAATTTACTTGGTGTATAAATTGGATTTTTCATAGGATGTGGATGTATAATATAAAAATGATATAAACATGGTGCATATAATATCATTAATAATAAATCAGCAACAGCTAACCATAATAATAAATGATTAGTTGCATTCTGTGATAATTCACGTCGTGTTAATACAATAATATTTACAAAATTAGCTGGTATACCAAATAAACATACAGCTAAACTTAATGGACCATGTATTTTACTAAATTCTGTACCAAATTTAATAAGACTATAATTGATAATCAGTTCAGTATTATTTGATGATGAAGAAGAAGAAGAAGAGGATGATGATGATGATGAGGAGGAGGAGGAGGTATTCAACGGATTCGTTTGATTGATTAATTCCAATAATGATGGAATACACTCATTCATTTGTAAAATTTATTTTTATATTTTTTTAATTTATATTAAAATTCATGATTATTTTTATAATTTTAATTTGGATGGGATTGTAATTTTTTTTTGAAAAATAAAACTTGATAATAATAATAATATTAATAATAATATGGATAATTATATTCCGTTGCCACCCCTCCCCTACCCCCCTCTCTGTACAAAAAAAGTACACTTTATTTAAAATTTATGTTGTAATGTATTATCGTATAGAATTAAAATATCTAAAAAAATTTTAACCAATCAAATTGAGGAGTTTTTTTTGAAAAATCTTTGAATTGTCCAATCAAATTGAAGTAAATCAAGGAATATTCTAATGTTTGAAAATATGGGGATATTATAGAATATTTTACATTGTTTCTGTTTTTCATTGAGCTAAATACTGTTTATGTTGAAAATCATTATATATTTGTTTATTAATAAGACAATAGTGGATGGTGGTTCAATTTCGTGGATTGGTTGAAGTTAGACAATTAACACCATTGGTCTAGAGATTAAGTGTTCGCTTGAGAGATCGATAAGTCCTGTATTGTAAGTTTATGAGACGAGATCGTGAATGAGCACTGCATAGTCGTCTCATGCTAGGATGAAACAACTTTCTAATGCTTCCTAGTTTTCCATGATGGTTTAGCTTCAATTGACTCATGAATTCATTTATAAAATTACTAAACTCTCCACAAAACCACCTTCGGATACTAATAAGAAGTCATCTATTTCAGGATAAGAATGGATTTTTTGAGTGTTTGGTTCAGTATCAAGTTTTTTTTTGAATTCTCAATACAAGATATATGTGAGATTTATTTTTCTCTTAGAGTTTGACCGTTAATTAGTCATCCTGACGATTCTTCATTTAAGTAAGGTTAAGAAAAATGATTGATGGAACATTTTGTTGTCCGAATATCTGTAAATGACAGTTAATTCCCTGAACTGCAGTAAAGAGGTTTGCATCAGTGACCTAGGCGAAAAGTTTGGATTAATTACACTTCAATCTCTTTCAGATATAAACACTATGTCATACTTTCACAATATTTAACATTGAGGTAAATACTGTTTATATTGAAAATCATTTTTATCTGTTTATTAATAAGACAATGGTGGATGGTGGTTCAGTTTTGTGGATTGGTTGAAGTTAGACATTTAACAATATTCGATGTCAAGTCTGTGGTCTAGAGGTTAATTGTTCGCGTGAGAGACTGATAGATCATAGGTTCGAATTTCACAAGGTGGGATCGTGGATGAGCACTGCTGAGTCATTTCATACTAGGATGAAACGACTGTCTAGTGCTTCCAGGTTTTCCATAATGACCTAGATTCAATTGACTCATGAATTCTGTTATAACGTATGCCCTGAGCAGTCTTGATTGCGTATCGGCCCTGCTATCTGCCTAGCCCAGCCAGTTGAGTCCAGAACACAAATAACAGCCTCGGAAATATGAATCATTATTTACAAGCATAATGGGTTTTTTATACAAACCAAAGTAATCAATAACTGATTATAACTCAAGAATCGTATGATCATAAATCAAAGATCAAAATAAAGCTAATGATAAGAGAAAACGAATATGAATAATTTAGTTACGTAACAACTGTACAATAAGAAATAGGCATAATACATTGGTCGATAAATAGTCCTTAGAGTTACCATTCATAATTCACCAGGGGATATAACACCTCCCCTTTTTGAGAAATACGGAGTTGACATCCGGATTTTAAATTTCTCGAATTCACCCTCCCCCACGAAAGATTGTTGGATCCTCATGTACCCAAGTTACCGTTATTGTGACATTATTTAAAACATATTCGTCGTACTTAACTGAGAATCCACCAGAACTGATTATATCGTGAGGATCGACGACATTCGATTTGAGGTCACCGGCGTCTGATTCTTTTGAAACACTTTCCTTGAATTTACTCGGAACCTCATTAGTAGATAATGAATCATTAGGATAATCAGTATCTATGAAATTTGTATTGGATTCTTGATTATCATTTAATGCATCCGATATTTTTCTCCCATTTTTATAAGAGATTTGAACTGGAACATATGAATCAGTAAAATAATCGGGATCTGGCAGAACAATTAGATAATTTTGATCATTAGATTCATTAGAAAAATTTTCCGTATCATGAATAATTTCATTTGGCGCCTCTGCATTCAATATACTGCTCGATTTGCTTCCCATTTCTTCGTGGGCGGGTACTGCAGCAATTTCATGAGCATTTGACATGGCATCATGTTGCTGAGAGCTGGGAGCATCACTGTTCGGACCTGCTAATTCAGGGATAGTGGTGTTTGAATCCACTACCGGGCACGTTTCTGAAACAGGCAGCACCGGACTACTGGGCTGATCATGTAGGACTGTTACTGCTGCATCTAAATTACTGTTTTTCGCGGATTCATAGAGGCTTTCCTCTGCATATTCATTTGTTCTGTAATCGACTTCCAGTTCTATGCGCAATTTAGAAATCAATGCGTCAACTTCCGTTGCACCCCCAAAGCATGGGTGATTCAGCAGCGTCGCGTGTAACTTGTCAATGAAATCCAACTGACTCTTTTTAAAACGCTGCTCTTGTCTCTGAATTAGCAACTGAAATTGATCGGAAGTTAAAGCCATTTTTTTTACCCTGTCGCCAGTTGTTATATCGTATGGACTCGTAATATATATGAACGTGCAATTAGAGAGGAGTGGATTTTACTGATCGAATGCAAATGATACTTGAAATAGTACGAACAGTATTGGGTTGCTGTTCGGTCCTTCCTAATGGCTCGTATAACAATCGTTATTGTATATGAAACGTGCAATGATACAGAAAATACGTACGAGCAGTCTTGATTGCTGTATTTTTTTCCAGAATCCCCGTCGAAAACTGTATACTTTTTTCTTTTGCGTACCAAAATCCCCGTCGCCACTGTTATAACGTATGCCCTGAGCAGTCTTGATTGCGTATCGGCCCTGCTATCTGCCTAGCCCAGCCAGTTGAGTCCAGAACACAAATAACAGCCTCGGAAATATGAATCATTATTTACAAGCATAATGGGTTTTTTATACAAACCAAAGTAATCAATAACTGATTATAACTCAAGAATCGTATGATCATAAATCAAAGATCAAAATAAAGCTAATGATAAGAGAAAACGAATATGAATAATTTAGTTACGTAACAACTGTACAATAAGAAATAGGCATAATACATTGGTCGATAAATAGTCCTTAGAGTTACCATTCATAATTCACCAGGGGATATAACAAATTCATTTATAAAATTACTAAACTCTTCACAAAACCACCTTCTGATATTAACAAGAAATTATCTGATTCAGGATGAGAGTGGGTTTTTTTTTGACTAATTGGTTCAGTATTAGTTTCTTTTAATTTTCAATGTCAGATATATGTAAGATTAATTTTTTTTCCTGGAGTTTGAAGGTTATTACGTAATCCCGACAATTATTCATTTACGTAAGATTATGAAAAAAATGATTAATAGAACTTTTTGTTGTCGGAAAATCAATAAACGATAAGTGTTTTTGTCTTAATAACAAAACCGACAATATTAATCGGTTATTTATTATTGAAATAATACGTTAAATATACTTACTTACTTACTTACTTACGCCTGTTACCCCTCGTAGAGGAGCATAGGCCGCTCACCAGCATTCTCCATCCAACTCTGTCCTGAGCCTTCCTTTCCAGTTCTTTCCAGTTGCTATTCATCCTTTTCATATCGGCTTCTATTTCCCGGCGTAGTGTGTTCTTTGGCCTTCCTCTTTTCCGCTTCCCTTCCGGATTCCAAGTTAGGGATTGAGTCGTGATGCACATTGGTGATTTCCTTAATGTATGTCCGCCTGTAGCTCTTCTAGAGTTACTGCCGGTCCCAAGCCCGGGTAAAGGAGGAGGGTTGGGCATGGGGTTAGCGACCCCATCCCGTAGAAAAGCTAACTCGCTAAAAAAACGCTAACCAGAAAAATTAATCCAAACAATATTCCAGTGTATTTGGATCATGTTCAAATAAGAATGAATTAGTACGTTTTATATGTAAACGCTTAAATATCGATGTTTTTTATATTACCCTTATTTGCAGAATATTTAAAGTCTTTAACCTAGAATATAAAACTCATATCAGCAAGTATAGAATATGATTGATGTTGAAAAACCAGTTAACGTTTAAAAAAACCCCGGATCTTTTCAGGGCTAACATGACATCTTGAACATAGAGGAGCTTCAGGAAATATGTTAAATTTCGTAATTAATTCTGTAAGTGTCCAATCATTATATAAAACATGTTTTGTTAATTTTTTTTATTCAGAATCCTTTTGAAAACTTCCGTAGAACTTTAGTTAGACGAAGTTGATTCAGTATTTTTCTAGTTTATGAAGAGTTTCTTAAGGAATTGTCAGTGATTCTGGACAGGTCATTTAATTATTATTTTCTTAAAGTCATTATTTCCATCATCATTAGCTTTATTCAATATTATATATTTAGTACAATATAGAATTCTCAGCACAATGTGTTATGAGTTTACAAGATAAACAAAGGACGTATGACAATTCGCCATCGGTTTTATGTCCAGCTTCTATCACTTGAATTATCCATTAATGGAAATACGACTTTTCCGAACTTAACACTGTGACAGTCAATGATGTTCGATCAGTATGAGTAATTTAGCGTCTTTATTGATCCTTTATCCGCTTAGCCCTTTCACTTGAGTCCAGAACACCAGTGACAGGTTCTGTTACACGAATCTATGCGAATCGTTTATTTCAAGCATACTCCGTTTATATACCAGATAGACACACCACATCACACCATAAAATAGAAAATAATATTTGTACAAGATCAAGCCCAAATGTGCCTGTGAACGTGGGATATAATAATCAATAAACTGAGTATAATTTAGGAACAGTGAATAGTATGATAATAATCAATAAGTCAAAATGAAGCTTACAATGAGATGAATATAGATATACATAATCTAGTTACTGAATAGTTATACAATAGGAATATATATAGAATAATCGTCCACTTATAGGTCCCATAAGTTACCCAGACTTAAGTCTTCGCTAAGATATAACACAATGTATTTCAACAAGTTTTCGTTTCTTACTTCTTGATCGATTCTGATGACAAATGTTGATTGGCGACCAATTAGATGTTAGTAGTTCAAGAATCGACATCTGAATAATGTACATTCTTTTCGATGTATATTGCCAGCAACCACGATATCTCTGATTAGGCCTTTTACAATTTGTACAGCGAAAGGTTGTACACTTTTCAAAAACGCACTTCAATAGGCTATTCGATTAATAGTCATAATAATGTATTTAAACAAACAGAAATAAATAGCTTGTTGAAATATTCAGATGGCATGAACAGGTAGTCCTGATATTTAAGCAGACCG